TTGCCCTCAAGCTTGCTGGTTGCTTATAGCTAGGCAAAGCAGGTAAAAACCCTGCACATTTTCTGCTTCCTTGCTTCCAGTCTAACTGAGGTATAGTCACCTTCTGCCATTTATCTTGGTGCCCTGCTTGATCTTGTCTTGGTCAATTGTCTTAGTGCAATTGTTATGTACCTCTCTCGGGCAAAGCAATCTGTGAGTTTGCTCCTTATGTACCTTTATGCAAAGGGCTGGAACATCCCTCCTGTGGGGCAGGCTGAAAAAGCTGGGGCTCTTCAGCCTGGTTAAAGTTTCAGGGGGACCTGATAACAGCCTTCTGAAGGGGCCTACAGGAAAGCTGGGGAGGGACTTTTTATAAGGACATGTAGCAACAGGACAGTCCCTGGAGGAGCTCAAGGGCAGGCTGGATGGGGCTGTGAGCATCCTGGTCTACAGGGAGGTGTCCCTGCCTATAGCAGGGGGTTGGAACGAGGTGGTCTTAAAGGTCCCTTCCAAGCCAAACCATTCTGTGATTCTATGATTACGTACCATGATGGGTGAACATACTCTGGGAAAAACCATGCTGAGGTTTGGGTTTGTAAGGCAACTTTCACAGAACTTTGAAGAGTTTTGGTTAGAAATTGTTCCAAATTATCTGGAACAACCACTGAGACTGTATAAATTCTGATATGCATGCATTAAAGGAATAGGGTCAATACCTCATATTGCTGGGGATGTTATTGTTATTCCAGCTAATGTGCACCATCACAATATGGGCTTAAAAGTTGTCTTAGCATGGAGCAATACATGACTTGGAGCAGTCATTGAAAACTCTTTGTGAATACTGTGGCAAAAGCTAATGTAAATAAAGAAAGATCAAAGTAAACTTTGAAGTAGGAATGGAGCCTGACATAGCCTAGCAAGACATAGACATAACCCAACAAACTGGAAATATTTCATTTTCAATTTCCTCTCCAAGATACCAGCCTTAAGCCTTACTTTATTATTATCATCATTATATTTTTTTTATTTTTACTGTCATTTAATAGAAGCTATGCTGGCAACTTATTTTACAAGCTTTCTGTAAAGATATGGACTGTATTTTCTTTTTTTCATTATTCTTGACTGCATTTCACTGTGCAGCAGAGCAGTGCAGCTTACCAGCTCCACTAGCACAGGACAAATTAAGTCAGTGCCATCACAAAAACACCATGCAGAAAATGAGGAGTAATGAAGGCCCAAAAGAATGGGTCAGCATGTAGGTTTATCCATACATTTAGCAGTATCCTTTCATTCACCTGATTTTCACCTTTATAACCTCTCATAAACACTGCAGTGCTGGAACCAGCCATGCAGAGTCCTCTTTTCCAGACTTGTCTCATGTACTCAATAAAGGCTTAGGTCATGGTTCCAGCCTTGACGTCTATGCAGGCTCATAAGGGAAGCAACACCCTTCATCTGTAACCACACAAGTCTGCACAATTATCCATCTCCAATGTTGGAAGATCTGTAGGGCAATTTTTCTGTCATTTAGGCACCCCTTTGCATACAGACGGGACCTTCTCCCAACCATTTCATTCCACTGAAGACGATTTAAGAGCATCAGCTGCAAAACCACCTTCCCCCATCTACTCTAAGAGCATGCTGCCACACAATCTCACCCAAAGGCATCCTGCCAAAATGTCTTCTCACTGGTGCGTGTAATGCAACTAGTGACCACTGGGCTATAGCAATGAGCTAGCAAGAAGGCAGAATCATTCTTCACATGTAAAATAACAGACTGGCTGAGCTTGGCAGGACCTCTGGGTCCATCTGGTCCAACCAAGCAGGTCTTCTTAGAGCAGGTTGCACAGGAACGTGTCCAGGCGGGCTTTGAAGATCTCCAGAGAAGGAATTCTTGCTGAGTTATGTCTTTTGGAAACAAGCCTGAGCAAGAAACTCCAAATCCTAACCTAGACTTCTTCAGAGCCCTTGTGCATGAACATCCTACATGTTAATAAGCATCTATTACTGCTGTATAATAGACAAAATTTAACAGACTTGGGATTATTACTTGGCAAGCTATTAGTAATGAATTCTTATAATTTGGTGGTGTGAAAGTGGCAGAGATATCCTACCCTGTTCATTTCTGGGAGACCTGAGAGATGTGTTGCTAGAGGAGCTCCTTTGAGCGAGCTTCAGGCAGCAGTCTGGAGACTGCCAGCTTTCTCAGCTGAGACCAGAAGCCACGGGGCAGCAGAAAGCTCCTTTATATTCCCCAATTTTCTTTGCCAGGGTGAAAATCCCACACTCCACCTGGAATGCCTGGAAGTCAAGATCCCATTTGAAACTGTTCTTGAGCTCAAGATGAAGGCAGTAGCCATAAGAAAAGCTCTGGATTGATGCGATGGCCAGCAGATCAGCTGCACAAAGGCTGCCATTTCCAGACAGACCTGGTCCTTCACAGAGATTAAAGTAAATCCCAGCTAGCTATAATCCTAAACAACAAATCGGGATGTGCTATATATTATTAAATGACTCCTCCGTTAATTTTGGTCTTCCTTGTCTTGAAGAGCATCAGGAGCACCAACAGTCAGGACCCTTTACATGCAGCGTGCCACTCACCAGATTTGTTACACGGTCTCTTCTCGAGAAAGAAACTAGAGCCAGCTGAGCAATCAGAAGGCCTGCACTCTCAATGACGATTGCTGGGTCAGTGCTTTCATTATTATGGGTTCTTGGTGGAAACATAAACCACCACAGCAGAGAGCTCTCGTGGTTTGTACAACTCAGCAGAATGCACAGGCTGTGTAGTTTAAATGTGTTTTATTAACACTTGAGCAGTCACTTCATGCATAGATAGCTTTTAACACTGTTGGCACATAAATAAGAGAGCCCCTGTTATGCAGTATATTTGGAAGAAAAAAAAAAAAAGAAAGTATTTTCCTTTCCAGAGGCGTGTGCCTCTGCAATGTGAGGTGTTGCTGTATCATCTCTCTGCCTTAAGGGATGTGGTATGATTGGTATATCACTGCTTGTAGGAAGCCAGGCTCTGGGGATGCAGCTGTGTTGCCAGAAAGTCTGCACACTACAGACATTTCTTTTTTGTGCTGCCAGTAAGTTGTGGCTGTGACTGCATCCCTAAGGGTTCCCGAAATGTTTTGGACTGTAGGTGTAGCTCTGTGCTGCCAGAAAGCCTGTGGTTGCAGATGTCTTTGTCTATAAGGCTGAAGAGTTGTAGACTTGATGTATCAGTATGGGCTATAATAAAGCTCGAATGCAAAAGGTGTATTGCTCTCTTCTGCTAAACCCTTTGGGCCATCCCAGAGCTGTTTGTGTCCACAGCGTTTGGACACACACTTCTCTATTTGCCCTAGCATGTCTACAGGATAATAAAGTTTGAGGTATGATGTTTGTGACAACTTACCCTCTGTTTTAGCATAAGCTACATCCCTCTGACGGTCTTGAGACCGTTTTAAGTTGCTTGTTAAGCTTCTGACACTGGTGGTAAGTAAGCAGTATTCTGCCCATTATTACAGATGCATGTTGTCACGTTTACAGAAGACCAATGTTCAGCCTGCTGGTAAAGTGTTTTAAAACCTTTGTGCTCTTTAGGCTTCCTAACCAGCTCTTAACCAGGGAGAAGACTGATCTGAATAGCAGCTGGAACAAGCGCTCTGCAGCAAGTAATAAATCTTCAGCTGGAGCTGTGGGCAAAAGGAGCTTAGCTGGCATGTGTACAGCATACACAGAAATACTACATGCATTCATTTTCATGTTTTCAGGATCTGCATCTTCTGGTTCAAGGACAAAGTCCCAAATGCATATTCTTGCTTCAGAGCTTGGGCAGTATCAACACATTGAAATACCCCAACTTTGGCATGACTTTGTAACACAAAACAGCAGCCTGTGCTATGCCCAAAGGAATGAGTTATCCTTCAGGACATGGTGTGAAAATACATAAGAGGAATCCCGGCCAAATCTTTGTATTTCTCCCTGCTGTGTATTTCCTCTGAACAGTTAATTGGCTCTAAGGATGCAGTCTAGACAACTTTCTCCTTCATCCTGAGGCTAAAAATAAGGAAGTGTGAAAAGGTGCTGAACTTTTGCTGATGTGGAACAGGCTAAAAACTTCAGAAGACTGTGGGGATTCTGCTTTTCGTGATTGCTCATTACAGTCACACTTTATGTCTTCTGCACAGGAAAAAAAGAACGATTGCCTAATTCAGTAGTAACATAAAGCTGAATGCATTTTTTTTCACTGAGTACTCAAAAGTACAGATCCTGATGTGTTTTTAGCCAGTAAATGAATGTGATCATGTGCCGAGATGAAAAATAAGGCTCCAAATACCCATCTGGATTCAGAAATAAACTCGGCACCTCAGGCTCATCCCTAATGGAAAGAATGACACACACAAGCATGACTTCATGGTCATGAGGCCTTGAAAATGTACATCCAAAACGTTCGTAACAATATATATTTTATCAGTTTTGGAAGCTGCTAAAAATAAGAGCCAAATGATGAAGCAGCGTGGAGTGTCTGCAGGGAAAGGTGCTTTGTGCCAATAAGTCAGGGATGTTAGCTTTTGGCTCACAAGTCTGAGTGATTTTCTGGCCATACAGTCAGACTTGGATCATGCAGATCTTGCAGAAATGTGAGAGAAGTAGAAAATGCCACTTGCTTCCTTAGGCTCAAAACCAGTACTAGCCCATACTTACAGAACTGTACTGAACATTAAATACAGTATATGTTTCTACCTTATCTTTCCTTGAAATACATACAGAAAAGCAGCCATTCTTATTAGACTGACCATAAAGTGAATTTCTAGATGCTACAATTTGTACATATTTTCTTGTCTTTCCTCCCCCAGGTAAATCTGCTCTGTTCTTCTAATGTAACCCATAGTACGACCTTGCTACAAATACAATTTGTTGTTAGAACTGTAGGAAATGGAGCTATTTTTCACCCTAGAATTGGGTGAATATTGCAAGAGCTTTTTGCATAGATACTTGCCAGATTGAGTGTTTAAATTATCATGCTTCAGGTACAGCTGTTAAGTATGCAACTGCAGTGGACTTGACAAGCTGGAGAAGCCCAGGAGGCAACCTGTGAAGAAAGAGAACAAGCAGTGGGGTTTGTACTGCTCACAGCTGAGTGCAGTCTGTTTCACTTCCAACACCAAAGGTCCATGTGAGCTGTGCTAGCCCCTGGCTTGCTTTCAGTGGATTTCTACACATTTTGTAAGTACTCCAATAAATTAATTTACTTTTAAGAATTAATTTTACTATTTAAGAAAATATAATCAAAGGATTTGTCTAAGTTCTTATGTTTGAGCTTGTAGCCCTGCAGATTAACACTGCAGAGGTATTTCCAAGAGCTGCCTTCCTCTTGTCAGGGTGCAGAGCAATTTCTTGTGAGCTTTGTGTCAAGACAGCTCATCCCAGTGAGCTGTGGGTTATTTCTTCATTTTGCATGGATCCTTGCTAAGCTCATGCTTTAGATACTTCAGCAATGGGCTACCTCTCTGATCCAACCAAGCAAAATTGGTGCCAGTTCCAAGCCTAGTCCACTGCTCTTGCCAGGATGCTGTAGACGATCTGCCAATTGGGCTGAAGGCCAGGAGAAATGGTAAATGCAAGACTGCAATGCTCCATCCTCAGACAAAAATCATCAGATCCCAAGGAAAGTTGGTGAGTACATCAGGCCTGGAACAAGGGTGATTTGGGGTTTCTTGACTCAGAGAACAGCAAGTTTCTCCAAAAAGGACTGAAGTTCTTTTACCAGGAAAAAGAGCCTTTAGCCTGTCCAGTGCTAAGGGAGCCATATTCCAGGTCACCTGCATGGCTGGGAATAATGTAAGGAGAGGAAGGGGAGCAAAAAGCTTGGGGGATCCTGAGTGGCGGGGAGCAGAATCTGGTGGTAGCTGGGGACACTTGCACTTACTCTTCTGTTCCAAACCTGCTGCTTCATCTGCTCCAGCAGCTTCCGAGTACTATACCAGTCCTCGCAGCTGCAACAGTGGTATGTGAATCCCTCTCTTTAGGATATTTGTAATCAGTGACAGTTTTGATGTGCTGCCAATATTTTTCTTTCAGCAGTTCCAGCAGGAGTGAGGAAATAGCAAGCTTTCAATTATTTACACTGTGGCGATACCTGAAGAGAAATTCACCAAACAAAAAAAAAGTACTTGTCTGCACCAACTGTTTTCCTCCTAATAGATTTCAAAGCATGAGATGCAAAAAGATGTGAAGCTCTCCAAGTCAAAATCTTTTTTGTGAGGAAGGCTATGTCCAACAACAGCAATCTCAGTCTTCCTACTGTCCCATCCCAGGGCGGTGTGTGTGGCTGGGGGCTGCCCTGCCTGTCTTACCCTCCTGCATCAGGCAGGCATCAGGAGCTAATGGCACCAGGACGCAGCTTTCCATTGCATCACAGCAGGCAACCACCAGCAGGAAAACTAGTGCTGGTTGAGCCGGTGCCACATTGGGTTTGTTCTAACCCAAAAGCCTGTCTAAACCTATTCCATCAACACTTTTTGTCATGGATGCAGTGACTAATGTCGAGAGGCTGCACAGAGAAGGGCCATCCCACACCCTCCTCCACGTGTTATCAGCTCCCATCTACTGAAAACATGTCTGGGCAAGGCTTGGCTGCATAAGCGTGGCAAAATGTTTTCTCAGGAAAATAACGAGATTATTCATCCAGAGATTGGAGTGCTTGGTGTAATCTCTCCTCAGAAAGACAGAGAGGAGGGAAAGAGAAGGCTCTGGGGAGACCTTACTGCAACATTCCAGTGCTTGAAAGGAACTTACAAGCAGGAAGGGGACTGACTTTTTATGTGGTCTGATAGTGATAGCACAAGGGGGAATGGCCTAAACTAAAAGAGGGGAGATGTAGATTAGATGTTAGGAGGAAATTCTTTACTCAGAGGGCAGTGATCTCAGCTATCATTCAGAGGAAAAATGTGGGATGTACAGTAGGAAGGGAAAGTGCACCATGGAAAGGGTTGCTGTGGCATGCCCCGTTCTTGTACCGTGCCATGCCAGTATTGCTGAAGGCTGGGTTTGGGCCTTAACCTGCATGTAGGAAAGAAGCTTCTTCACCAGAATTTCAGAATAGCAAAGGAAAGTGGAAAGTCTACTTCTTGCATCAAAAGTATTACCAGGAAAAAAAAAAAAAAGAAGAAAAGAAAAGAAAAGAAAAAAAAAAGTTGGGAAAGAAAAAACCAATACAAATTACCTCTAGGTATTTTTATGCACAGATCAGAAAACCTTTCAGAAAGCCACACAAAAGTCATTAGTGACTGTGACAATGGGGAGACAGTAGAGTGAAGAAAAATGTCTTCGCTTTTAATTATACTGGAGACTTTTTCCCTTGGGTTCTCTCTTGGTTAGTGTATAAATGCTCCGTAGCTAATTAGCTCTTCCTTCCTTCAGAGCAATTTCATGATTTTAATTAATATAGCATCGCTAACCTATTAATCCTGCCAATTGGCTGGAGGTGTTGGACAAATGGTTAAAAACAAGCAACAATTAAGGTGGACCCGTTACTTATAGAAGCTTTTGAAAATTGAAATAGCTTGCTCAGCCCAATAAACACACTGCAGACCATCTAGGAATGTCCCAGCCTGTCTCAGGTAAAATTAAGTCCTGATCCAACAAGCCTTTTCAAGTCATATACAGTTCTATGGATGTGAACTGTCTCACAGGAACTGAAAGAATCAAAGCAATTCCGAAGGCCTGGGTGGTGTGTGGCAGCCCTGGTGATGCTGACCCCAGCTGCTGAGGTTCAGGTTGGGAGTTTCACATGGGTGTGGAGTACAGCATCGAGGCCACATTGGCCTTCAGATGCCAACAAGAACTCACATTTTTGAAGCAAACCTGCAAAGGTCATTATAAATTGCTTCTGAGAAGATGTGGGAGACTAAAGCAGGAGGAAGAGTTTGTTTTGAGACAACCAGTAATTTAATGTGCTGTAGAGGGCCATCTGTAAAATAGTGGTTGAGTCTGGACAGCACTTGCACTGAACTGTACTCATGGTACGACATATTGACACCTTCTGTAACCTGCTATTTATTTCTCCAGAAACTCATGCTTCTTTAAAAGAAATATAGAAAAATAGGAGAAATGTGTATATCAATAAAAAAGCACAAAGGCTGGGTGGAGAGCAGGGTTGAACCTGCACAGCACTTGGAACGTTGCCACAGAGAGGTCAGAGGAATCAGCTCTGCAGTGACAGATGTAATATCAACATTTTAACTGCTGTATTTGCTTGTGTAATGGCTGTGTGCGTGGAGCAGGCACACCCTGCAATCACAGCCCCAGCTGACAGGGAACAAAAGAGCTCTGGCAGTTTTAGAAGGTGTGCACACAGCGGTGTGCCCTCCTTTCAAACTCACAGAAACACAGATCTGCCCATTACCATGGCCTGCCATCTCACAGAGATGTTACACCTTTTCCTCCCGGGAAGAAGGGACCAATTCTTCAACATCTATTGAAGCTCTCAGATACATTTGACACATGAAGCAAAAGCAGATCTGTGCCAAAGCCTTCCTCCTTCCCAGGTGAAGATAATCATCCAAAAAGGTGTAGGAGTAATTTGGACGGGGCAGTTCCATGTGGGATTTCATTTGAAGAAAAGTATGATTCTGAAAGAATACTGGCAGCATTACTTTTTGTATTATCGGACCGTAAACTGTAATGCACTGCAGCCCAGTTTTAGCAGAGAAGTTTCACAGTCATATTATAAACAGGAACATTAGCAGTTTTATCATCTTGTTCCAGGTAATCATCTTGTTCCATATAATTATTAGCTTTCGCTTCTTGGGTGAAGCAATCTTTTAAAATCTGTTCCTATTTAATTAGTCACATTCCCTACTGACTGCCACAGGCATCTCCTGAGCAGGTGTAGTCTTGAAGCTGTGAATACATTTTCAGAAGCGATTCCAAAAAGGAGCTGCTCAGACTGGAACCAGCAGCAGAAAACCTTTTCTGCATCAGTCTTACCATTCAAGACAAGAAGATGATCTGCTTGCAGGCTGTGTAATGAGGAAACCAATTGATGAGAGAGATCTGGTCAGGGGTAGGTGAAGGGATTAACATTTTAAAGAGGGCACACTGCACTGCACTGTAATGCAGCCTGACTTTGCTTGCAATCTTTTTGTGATCAGTGTTTGAAAAGCTTGATCTTAGCTCCTGTGTGTTACCTGGGGCTTTAGGTGTACTCAGCATCACCCCCAAGTAGATCTGAATGAGCTGGTTGGAAGGCAGGGCTCCCAGGGAATAGTGGCCTGAGGGTGGGCTTTGTTTCCCTATGGACTGAGTTTTGAGTCTGTACATTTATGCTTTGAAGCACCCAAATCTTGCCTAGCCAGAGCTTCAGATGATGTTCGACTTAGAGAACGTAAAGACCATCTGCTGGGAATTATACACCATTTTAAAAAACGAAAGCTGGGGCTTACCAGTGGTAAATTCATCTGTAATCTTTTTATCCCCACAAGCAGCTGATTTTCTTTAGATGCTGCAAGAGACTTCAGGATTCTCTGGAAGGGAGATATCGGTAGGTCACATTCTCTTCTGTTTTCACAACTAGAATGAATAGCTTAAGGCTAGAGGAATCCTCCTCTATTCAGAAGGCTTACTCTACTGAGCCCGGGTTATAGCAGTAACAAAAATAACAAAACCCTTTGAAATTATTCCACGGTCCATGATAACCTTTGTAAATCCCACATCAGGAGGAGATCTGAGAGAGTTATAGCACCAGTGTCACCATTTTTTTTTCTTTGACTCTCAACCAAAGCATCTCTTTGTTGCAGAAGACCAACTTCTCTATGAATGTCTCTGCACAACGTAGACAGGAAGAAAGCTATGAAAGTCTCCTCTCTCTTCACTCTCCTCCTGGCTGCTGCACTTGGCTGAAATAAGGATAAAAGCCAACCTTCATGTGATAGTATCATGATTATTATTAGTCTTGGATGATATCCCACAATGACATCAAGCTCACTGTAACATGTAATAACTCAATAAAAGGATTAAACTGAACTTAAGCTCTTCCTAACCCTCAATATCTATTGCCCACGTACTTGCATCGGAAACGGAGAAGACGATTCTCTCTTAGAGAGTCTGATTTTATTTCCACTGAAAGAATTTAATGATGGCAAATTCATCAGTTTCAAGAGAAATGCTCTTGGATGGAACTAATCTAAAAAGAACAAAAATCAGGTTCCTAATATTGATATATTAATCTTCTGCTTGGCTCCTTATTCACATCATGAAGCCATTACTTCTGGGTCTGTTTAGATAGGTATCTAGTCAGTGAAATTTTCTGTGGGGAAATTTCTCACATAACACTCTGCATATGTTGCTTGCATAATCAAAGGATCAGCAAAGCCCATTTCTGCTTTTTCTATATATTTATTTCAGTGTAAACATGAGCACTTCCAAAGCACACCAGGGTTCAACCTCTGGGTGGATTTGTGTGCTGAGATGATATCCTGTTCTACAGAGATTACAAATTCACACTGCCAGCCTTTAAGCTTCTCACTTGGCCCACAGGAGCCCTAGGCTTCTTACAGCCAGTTAAGTCTCAAGGCACCTAAATTAAATATTTTGAATAATCACAGAGTAAAACCTTGACTTTCAAACATGGCTTCTGACTTGAGGAAATGACGTTCCTGATTGCTCTTAGAGCATCCTCACCTTGACTTGTGTGTAGGAAGAACTGTAGATCTCATGGACCTCAGCTGGAGCTGGAGGCATTAAATATGTGACCTCAGGCTGATCGAACTGGGCACATGCATCAAGCACAGCAAAATCAGAAACTGCTTTTGAAAAAAAAACCCTTCAGCGCTCTGTCAGAGGAGATGTGGGATAAATACAGATTGCTCCCCTCCATTTTCAACCCAGGTGATGCATCTCAAACACAATACTGCTCTTTGCTTGTATTGAGAGAAGGTACATAAAAGTCCGGAAGATAAAGCTGAAGCCAAAGTGTTTCATATATTTTTTTACCCAACAATGCAAACCTCAGAAGAAGAGTGTTTGGCAGGTATGATAACATACTTTTCTGTCTAGAAAGTTACTGACCATTTCAAAGGGGCAAAAGTATTTACTGAGAGGAGGGAAATATTTTTGTCTTCTTTGTACAAATAAATGGCTTGTTCATGACGATGTAGTTATCAGTAAGCATGTGAGTTTCTTGATGTGCAGTTATTGATTTTTTTCCTGTAAATTATCTTGTGGTTATGCTGCCTGCCTCTGAGAAGTGCAGGTTATTATTGATCATTATGAAGCTGCTAACTACATGGTAAGTTCTCCAGCACTACTTTCATCTTTTACCTTTCCTATCCTCTTTATTCTTTTTTAGACTTTCTTTTATTTTCCCAGAAATCCTGCCTGCCTGCATAATATTGTTCTCTGACTTTTCTACAGTGAGATAATATTTCCCAAATACCATAAGCAAAATATGGGCTCATATCTATCCAGAGCATTTATTTGGTGCACTAAGCATCAGTCACTGATTGAAACTTGCATTGTCTTAAAGCAACTTCTCATGATGAAAGAATAGGCAGCAAGTTAAATTTTAAAGCTGTCATCTTCTTTATGTCCTCAGAATCCTCAGAGAATGAGACTGAGAGAACAAAATGCTGCTTAACTGCAGCAGTCAGTATGGCTGGATACCTGTGTAGAACTGAGGCCTAACTCAGGATAATGTAGGTGAAATATCACAAAATGTGAGAAAGCAAAAGCTTTGCAATGTGCTGGAATAGATTAAGACTGAGAAAACAGATTTTTAGTTTTTTTCTCATTCTCTTTCATTTACTTTATCATCAGACATTGCTACGGAAGGATAAAAATAGATTAAATCATGGCATTTACTTAAGACATTCAATTATTAATGGAAAGAAAAAGTTATAACACTCACGTTATATGAAACACATCTTTAAATAAACCAAACAAAAACAAAGTCAGTGAGGAATCCTGAAGTTGCCAGCCTAAACTGCTTGATAATGTAGAAACAAAAGCACTTTGAAAAGACTTCTACAAATCCTCAGTAAGTCCCTATATCTTAGGTAATCCTGAGCTAACTAACTGAAAGATAAAAATGTAAGCCCTTCATGTTTGTGGTCAAAGATAAAAAAGTCCCCAAAGTCCTCTACTTTTCTTGTGAATCTGATCTAAGTTCCTTAATCTGTTATTCCTGAGCAAGCAGAAAACATAAATGAGTTACAAGTCTATGGACAGAAGATTTCACAACCCCCTGATCTGTAGGTTTCTCTTCTCTATTTTTAAGGTTATCTGTCTTGAAAGAAATTATATTAAATGGAGTTGTCCATTATCTCTCCCTCTCTATGGTGTTGAAAGGAGGCCTGAAATGGTTAAACCTCTAAATCATATTGCCTTGTTTTCCTTTCTCCTCATATTGGATTGTCAGTTCTGGGTTTTCACGAGGCTTGCCTGGAAATCTGTTGGAATCTGGTCAGGGTATGTGTCAGTACTTTTCACACATTAGTTAAATCCACCAGGAGGATACAGTGCGAAGAGAAGTATATAGTCAGTGCTGGATAGCTTTGTAACAAGGATTTCCATCCTCTAATATGCTCCTCAATTCAAAACTAAGACAATAAAATGTACAGGAGAATACATGGAAAGAAAACAAGGACCATCTTTCCCTCATTCCTTATAAGCTATCATCACCATTATATGAATGCTGATGTCACGCAGCCAAGTGTTGCAACATACAGTTGCCTCATTTATTCTGCAGCTACGTTTAGGCCAACAAATTAAGGGTCAGAGAGAATTCTTTAAATCTGTCTTTCAGTGTTCTTTCTTCTGTGTTGCAGGTCATTTTCTGCTCATATTCTGTGGGCAACACAGAGATTTGTTCTGTGTTCTCACCTTCAGATGAATCTGCACATTCTGAAGAAGACTATGCTGCTCAAGTCTGTCATCGCTTGTTGACGTAACTTTTTAATTAAAACCTGACGAGATGAAGAAAACTGACTGTGCAGTGGTGATTGATTTATATGAAGTTACTTGAAAGATTTCTCTATGAATGGAGATTCTTTGTTTCTCAACCAGAGCAGAACATGCAAGCCACTGGCATGTTCTCAGAACCTTAGAAGGCATTAGTCATGATGGAGTGTTCATTCATTTGAAGGGCTCGTGAAATTTGGCCCAATTGGTTCCATTTTAATATCAGTCCTGCGGATTTATGCTTTGTCCAGCAACAAGTCAAAGTAATGTTATATAACTATTTCGAAGGCAAAAGTACCAGGCAATAGCCATAGTTCTATCTGTTCTTCACTGATGCAGCTAAATCCTTTTTCTCAGCCTTGGGGCACAAGATGAGACATGGAACAGAACTTTGACACCATCCTATTGTCTGACAAATCAGATGACTCGTAGCACTGTGTCAGAACAAAGGATTGGGATGGGCAAATGATTTATGACATGATCCATTTAATGATCTACGAGGAGTCTCTGCGAAGTGAGGTCAGTCAATGGCATTTTTAAGTAACCATCACCTTTCTCGCCTCCAGCAGTGGCTGCTTGCATTTGCCTCCATTTCTTCTATTAAAATTGCCCACACAGTGGTGTTGGAAGACATCTACAGTGGTTGTAAATTATTTTTCTACAGTATATGTTGCTGCAACTATTTGTTCAACATTCTAATGAGCACTCTTCCTTCCACCTTATTAGTCATCTGGCAAAGGAGAATGGCTGCAGTGTTTTTGCTCCGCAGCTCCACATATCAGTCAAATCATTTTGTCAAATGGTAATCAAAGATTTTTTTTTTTTTCTTTTCTTTTTTTTCCAGAAGAGATCAAAATGTCCCATTCCAGAAGGCTAAAATGGAATTCAGCACTACTAGGTACCACTACACTATCACTTCCATCTTGAAATTGTGAAATTGGTCACTGTCTTGACTGGCATTGCAGATAAAGTTAGCTGGCGTGGTGGCAGAAGCCTTATTAGCAACCCACACCAATTTTCCTGTAACTTGGAGAGACTGAAAGGGAGAGCTCAGTGTTGACGGGTCATTTGTGATTTTAACAGCCAAGTTCCGCCTTTTGCTTCAGACCAGCAGATGCATGCATTGGTCATGCAGCTTTAGGTCTCCAGAAACACTGAACGTGTGAGTAGGATGTTACAGAACTTGTATTTTCTTTCAGAGAAGCAGGTAGTAATCTGCCAAAAACATGAAAAAAACAGCCTGAAGAAATAGAGCTAAGTGCTCTGGTAACAGAAGCGCTGTCTCTGAAATTGCAGGGTGTGGTTAGTGACCTCCACAAGCCCTGATATGAAAGTATAGACTGCTGTCCTGCAGCGGCGCTAAGGAACAAAGTTGAACTGCCATGTGATGTCATAGGGTCTGAAAGCGGTGTGGCACCGCTCTCAAGGAACCACCAGAGTGTGGAGTCATTTAGGGAACATTTCCAAGATAAAGAGGGAGTAAGGAAGATACTGTCCTGGCCTCTGTACCAAGGCAAAGCCAGAGAGCTCCATGTGACACTAACAGACATGCTGGACCACCTTTCCTCAAGTATTGCGTGCAGAGACTCCAAACATTATGTGGTGGTTATCCATTCACAAAGCACGAAAGACTGCAGCACAGGCACTGAAGGCAGCAAAATAAACAGTGTAAAATCCATGGAAAGCTCTTTCAATCTGGCATATGCATTGGGATTCAGTCAGGAGACTCATTAGAGCAGCCAACACTGCACAAACCAGCAAGGCTGAATATTGCACAAGAGCATAGTACAGAGAGGAATGCTGAAGCTGCTAGGCCACCACTGTGACAAGGCACTTCTCTCGTACAAGGCCTTTGCAAGGTTCTTCACGATTTCTGAGACTCCCTCACTGAGACTATCCTATACAAAGAGAACCTGGGGCGTTACAGAGTGACTCATCTGCTGACCAGTGCCATCTATTTACTTGGAACACCACAATGCCCCCAAATTCCTTACCCCTTGTCTTGCCATGTTCCAAAGCAT